TCTCTAACCACCCATTCATCCATCTATCCCTCTCCCTATTCCTATCTATCAATCTATCCCCTCCCTCTCCCTATCCACCTCCCTATCCCTACCTCTCTCTCCATCCATCCCTCTCCCTTATCCACCCACCTCCTTATCCACCTCTCTATCCACCTCCCTATCCCATCCACCCATCTATCCTCTCTCTATCTCTATCCCTCTACCTATCCCCACCTATCCCTATCTCCACCTCTCTATCCCCTCCCTACCTCCCTATCTCTATCCCCACCTATCCCTATCTCCACCTCTCTATCCCCTCCCTACCTCTATCCTTTTCCCTCTCCCTATCTCTATCTCCACCTATCCCTATCTATCCACCTACCTCACAATCTCCTTGATGACAGACGAGGTCACAGACGCCACGACGTCGTCATTCACGCCGTCAGCCTCGCCTTGGGGGAGCTGGGGGCGGCCCCTGGTGACGGAGGGAGGGAGAGAGAGAGAGATAATAATTAATGATTATGGAGGGAGGGAGAGAGAGAGAGATAATAATTCATGATTATGGGGGGGGAGAGAGGGAGAGAGATAATACTTACATATATATAATATATATAATAATAGTAATATATAACATTATAAGCTATAATAATAAGATATATATAATAATAAGGGAGATATATAATAATAATAATAATAATAATAAAAACAAGGGATATATATATAATAATAATAATAATAATAATAATAAAAAGGGAGAATAATAAGGGAGAGATATATAATAATGATAATAATAGATATATATAACAATAATAATAATAAGGGAGAATAATAATATTAATAATAAATATAATAATAATAATAGTAAGGGAGAATAATATTTGATATTTATTTATTAATAATCTCCCGCCTAGAAAGAGGGAGAGAGAGGGAGATAAAGGGAGGAAGGGAGAGAGAGATAATAATTGGTGATTAATGCAATTTAGATGAGGAGGAAGGGAGGGAGAGGAGGGAGGAAGAGGGAGGAAGAGGGAGGGAGGAAGAAGGAGGGAGAGGGAGGGAGGGAGGGAGGGAGGAAGAAGGAGGGAGGAAGAAGGAGGGAGGAAGAGGGAGGAAGAGGAAGGGAGGGAGGGAGGGAGGAAGAAGGAGGGAGGAAGGGAGGAAGGGAGGAAGAGGGAGGAAGAGGGAGGAAGGGAGGAAGAGGGCAAAAAAAAATTAATCACAACAATATAAAAAAAAAAAAAATACAAATACAAATAATAATAATAATAATAATAATAATAATAATAAAAATAATAATAATAATAATAACAAAAACATAATAATAAAACAAAAAATTATTAATCACAATAATATTTTTAAAGGAATATATATATAAATAAAATTAATAATAATAATAATAACAATAATAATAATAATAACAATAATAATAATAAAAATAATAATAATAATAACAATAATAATAATAAAAATAATAATAATAATAACAATAATTATAATATTACTACTAATAAAAAAATATTTTTAAAAATTATAATAGTCTCACCTAATTCCCCTGACGACATTCGAGACGATCCCGGCAACCATCCTGTCGTCAAATCCCGTTTTCTGTTTGGTCGCTTCGCCCGAGTCTCCGCTGTAAAATTAATGAATAAATGAATATATAATATAGCATGCATGAAGATTATATATAATGAAGATTATATATAATGAAGATTATTATATAATGAAGATTATATATGAAGGATATTATATATAATGCATATTATATATAATGGATATATTCTATAATGATTATAGAATGAATTATTGAATTCATTCCTTATTTGTGGGCTGTGGAGGGGGTCTAATTTCGATGAATTTAATGATTTATTCTATCCTCTCTCTCTCTCTTTCGATCTATCTCTCTCTCTGTTTCTGTCTGTCTGTCTGTCTGTTTCTCTTTCTCTCTCTTTCTCTCTCTCTCACTCTCTCTCTCTCTCCCTCTCTCTCTCTCTCTTTCCCCCCTTTCCTCACTAACCTAAACTACATTAATTATCAATTATTATATCTCTCACTCTCTCTCTTTTATTCTCTCTCTCTCTCTCTCTTTCTCTCTCTCTCTCTTTCTCTCTCTCTCTTTCTCTCTTTCTCTCTCTCTCTCTCCCCTTCCTCACTAACCTAAACTACATTAATTATCAATTATTATCTATCTCTCTATCTCTCTCTCTCTTTTATTCTCTCTCTCTCTCCCTCTCTCCCTCTCCATCCCTCTCCCTCTCTCTCTCTAACTCTCTCTCTCTCCATAATCACATTAATCTTAAATTATTTTCTCTCTCTCTCTCTCTCTCTCTCTCTCTCTCTCTCTCTTTTATTCTCTCTTCCTCTCCCTCCCTCTCCCTCTCATTTATTCTCTCTTCCTCTCCCTCCCTCTCCCTCTCACCTGAACAGATTCCCGATGACGGAAGACGCCATGCCGGAGATAAAGTCGCCGCCCCCTTGACCTCCGTGACCCCCGTGACCTTGGTTCTGGTTGTGACCTCCGCTGCAGAGAAATGTAGGGGGGGGGGGGGAGGGGAAAAAAAGACGAGAAAATTGAGACGAGAAAAAATGAGAAGAGAAAATGAGAAGACGGAAGGGGAGAACGGATAAGCGAAAAAGGAATAAGGAAGGCGTGGATAAAGATGGAATAGAGAGAGAGATATACAATAGAATGTAGAGATGAAGAAGAGAGAGAAAAAGAGATAAAAACAGGAAACGGAATAAAATCCAACCTATTGGGCGAGGATTTACATTTTTACAGTAAACAAGTAGCCATATTTATTGTAAACAAGTCGCCATATTTATCGTAAACAAGTAGCCATATTTATCGTAAACAAGTCGCCATATTTATAGTAAATGTTGCCATATTTAGAATAAATAAAGTGCCATAATTATATCTAAACAAAATTAGTTAACTAAAATCACACAGAACAAGGAACATACGTCTTGCTATCCACGGCCAATAGGTTGAATAGAATTACGTAATTTAGTTTGAATATTAAGCGACCATAAAAACAAAAGGTTTCGAAACCTGGGTTATAACAAAGCCCAAAATTGTAACCATATTATAACTTATTATAAAAGTGTAACAGATTATATACCTGCAATCACCATGAAAAGTCAACATATAAATAACCCATGTATAACGCACTATACATCACCATATAAATAACACATCTATATATATCACCATTACCAATAACTCATCTATAATGCACCATACATCACCATGCCCAAAAGCCTTAAAATAACTCTCAAAAACCAATGATATTCATAAAATCTTAACACTATCCTCCCAACACCATATGCCAATACCACTAAAAATAGATTCTTAGCACTATACTCAAATTTTAATCACTATAAATCACCATACAACATAACACCAATCACATACTTTTAACACTATAATTATACCTTATCACTATACATATTACAACCCACTATAGATATATATCACCATCTTATCAATAGACATTTATCACTATACCCACACATTGGTCACCATACCCACTATATATGCCTTACTACCACTAAAAATGAATATTGGTCACCATACCCACAACCCACTATATATACCTTAGCACCATTTTAAAAATAGACATTAATCACCATAACTACAGTCACCATACCCACTATATATATACCTTACCACCATTAAAAATGAATATTGGTCACCATACCCACAACCCACTATATATATACCTCATCATTTTAAAAATAGACATTTTTCACTATAACTATACAGTCACCATACCCACTATATATATACCTTACCACCATTAAAAATGAATATTGGTCACCATATCCACAACCCACTATATATATACCTCATCATTTTAAAAATAGACATTTATCACTATAACTATACAGTCACCATACCCACTATATATACCTTACCACCATTAAAAATGAATATTGGTCACCATACCCACAACCCACTATATATATACCTCATCATTTCAAAAATAGACATTTATCACCATAACTACAGTCACCATACCCACTATATATATACCTTACCACCATTAAAAATTAAAATTGGTCACCATACCCACAACCCACTATATATATACCTCATCATCATTTTAAAAATAGACATTAATCACCATAACTACAGTCACCATACCCACTATATATATACCTTACCACCATTAAAAATCTAAATTGGACACCATACCCACAACCCACTATATATATACCTTATCACCATCTCAAAAATAGACATTAATCACTATAACTACAGCCCAACTATAGTTCTCTCACCATAAGCTATTCACTATTCCACTATAACCTTCCACTACACTATAACCTACGCTTAGTATCGCCATAACTTAGTACTTAGTATTGCCATAAAATCTATTTTATATCACAAAAAAAAAAATACTTAGTGTTGCCATAATACCTACTTAGTATTGCCATTAAACCTTAACATTGCCATAAAACCTTTTTTATATCACCAAAAAAATTACTTAGTATTGCCATAAAACCCACTTAGTATTGCCATAAAACCTACTTAGTGTTGCCATAAAACCCACTTAGCATTGCCATAAAACCTACTTAAAACCTTAGTATCACCATAAAACCTACTTAATATAAAACCTGTTTAGTATTACCATAAAACCTTAGTGTTGTCATAAAACCCACTTAGTATCGCCATAAAACCTACTTAGCATTGCCATAAAACCTACTTAGTGTTGCCATAAAACCTACTTAGCATTGCCATAAAACTTACTTAATATAAAACCTATTTATTATTACCATAAAACCTACTTAGCATAGCCATAAAACCTACTTGGTATAACCATAATACTCACTTAGTATTGCCATAAAATCTACTTAGCATTGCCATAAAACCTACTTAGTATTGCCATAAAACCTACTCAGTATCACCATAAAACCTTAGTATTGCCATAGAACCTTAATATTGCCATAAAACCTTAATATCGCCATAACATATATTATCCATCACCTGCCATAACTATCACGAACTTACAATCTTTAAAACCACTTTTAAAAACCACAAATCGCCATAAAATACAGAAAACCACCACCGTATTTCAATCACATCCATTCCTCTTCATATCTAAGTTCCTTAAATTATATAAATATATCAGAGTAAATGAAATAATTGTAGAATTAATAAATTCGTATCAAATACATCGATATATCAAGTATATTTCACAATTATAAAGGAAAGTCGCCATAACTATAGTAAGTTGCCATATTTATAGTAAGTAGGTCACCATATTTATAGTAAATCTGTTTATATAATTAAAATAAACAGGTTGCCATATTTGTAGTAAATAGGTTGCCATATTTATAATAACTTGGTTGCCATATTTGTACTAAACAAGTCACAATATTTATAGCAAATAGGTTGCCATATTTATAGTATATATGTTGATGTAATTAGAATAAATAGGTTGCCAATACTTATAGTAAATAGGCTGCCATATTTATGGTAAATAAGCTGCCATATTTATAATAAACAAGTCGCCATATTTATAATAAACAAGTCGCCATATTTATAGTAAATGTTGCCATATTTAGAACAAATAAGGTGCCATATTTATAGTAAATAGGTTTCCATATTAAGAATAAACAAGGTGCCATATTTACAGTAAACAAGTCGCCATATGTATAGTAAATTGGTCGCCATATTTACAGTAAATACAAGTCACTATAACAGATTAATTCTCTTGAGAATCGACAAAACCTGTAAAATTAAATAAATAAATAAATCTGTAAATGAAAAAAAATATATACATATCTGTAAATAAAATCTAGAAAAAATTAAATATCTGTAAATAAAATGTAAAAAAATTAAATATCTGTAAATAAATTGTTAAAAAATTAAATATCTGTAAATCTTACATAAGATCGAAATATTATATATAATAAAATAAACGTCAAAACCTGTAAAATAAACATATATGTGAACGAAACACCTGTAATAAGTAAATAAAAATATCAATGAAAATTTCTGAGACAAAACTCATATATAAGAAAAATTTCAAGAAAATCTGAAATAAAAGACAAAATTATCTTAACGTCCGTCCTTTAGGGAGGAAAAAAAATACCTTTTAGGGGAAAATTCCCTTTACGTCCCCTGCTTTTTAGGGGAAATTCCGCACGTGGAATTCCTGTAAATAATAAATAAAGTCCTGTAAATAATAAATAAAGTCCTGTAAATGATAAATGAATTCCTGTAAATAATAAAGAAATTTCTGTAAATAATAAATAAACAATCCTGTAAATAACAAAGGAATTCCTGAAAATAATAGTTCCAGGGGAAAAAATTTCCTTCCAGATGTGTCATATTTTAGGGTAAAATTCCCCAAAGGTGTCCTGTTTCGGGGGGAAATTCCTCAAAATTGTCATAAATTAGGGTAAAATTCCCCAAATATGTCAGGATTTAGGGTAAAATTCCCCAAATATGTCATATTTTAGGGTAAAATTCCCCAACTGTGTCCTTTTTTAGGGGAAATTCCCCAAATATGTCAGGATTTAGGGTAAAATTCCCCAACTTGTCCTGTTTCGGGGGAAAATTCCCCAAAAGTGTCAGAATTTAGGGTAAAATTCCTTAAATATGTCAGGATTTAGGGTAAAATTCCCCAACTGTGTCCTGTTTCGGGGGAAATTCCATAAATATGTCCTATTTTGAGGGTAAAATTCCTCAACTGTGTCATAATTTAGGGTAAAATTCCCAACTGTCAAATTTTGGGAGAGAATTCCCTATTTCGAATTCCGCGGTTGTGTCCAATTTCAAATTTCAAATTCTGCAGTTGTGTTCAGTTTCAAATTCAAATTTCAAATTCCACAGTTGTGTCCAATTTCAAATTCAAATTCAAATTTCAAATTCCACAGTTGTGTTCAGTTTCAAATTCAAATTCAAATTTCAAATTTCGCAGTTGTGTCCAATTTCAAATTCAAATTTCAAATTCCACAGCTGTGTCCAAATTCAAATTCAAATTCCACAGTTGTGTCCAATTTCAAATTCAAATTTCAAATTCCGCAGTTGTGTCCAATTTCAAATTCAAATTCAAATTTCAAATTCCGCAGTTGTGTCCAATTTCAAAAGCAAATTCAAATTCAAATTTCAAATTCCGCAGTTGTGTCCAGTTTCAAATTCAAATTCCAAATTTGTGCCAAAATTTCAGGGTAAAATCCCCTTGCAAACTCTACTTCATTCCCCTCCAAAAAAAAAAAACTCCTTTTAAAAAATACAAACTTTTTTTTTATTTGTTATCAATAAAAAATACTTTTCTTATTTCTTATAATAAATAATAATTATAATATATTGAAAAAAGTCTACGTCTTGTATATGGACTTTTCCGTTTCATTCAAATAAACAAAAAACAAATAAAATATTTTACCAAAACAAAAAGCAGTGAAGTCATTAACATTTTACGCCATTTAAAAGGAAAAGAAATGAAAAAAAAAAGAAGTTTAAAGATTAGTTACAAGTATACATATATATACATACATGAGTATGTACATTTA